CCAAATTTTAAAACCATCTGCCTGGGAGGGGCAGCAGCAGTTCTATTCAGGCAACATGGAAAGAATCAATCTTAAACTGATTAATACAGTGCTTGCCTTCTACCATATTAGCAAAGTGCCTTGTTTCGCTTTAACTGGAGAAAAATGTGTGTTGTATTATACGTGATGATGAGGCACCACATCACCTGCTCTAGGACTTTTTAAAATCCTAGATCTGCCCATAATCAAGGGTGGAGAGACTTCCTTTGCCAGTTCTTCTGGGGCTACCTCTGCACAAATAGGCTCTGCTGGTTCAATAATTGTGGCAAAGCACTTCTTGCTATAGCAAAACTGAGCTTGTGACAGTAAAGTTTGTACCAGCTCCCCCAAGCAATTTGAAGCTTTCAGTGTTTCCTTTATGCCTGTAAAAAAATTCCCATCCTGAGCTGATATGGCTCTCCTGGCTCAAAAATTCTTCTGTGGTAAACATAGTCTTAAGACTATCTGCTAGAGATGAACTTTGGTAAATTAACAGGCCTAGAGACTGCAACATCCTCTTTGGTTAACAACAGGCTAGAAGGTGCTTCATCATCCTCACAGGATGACAACATCCTGTTCCTCTCAAAATGCAGAACTGAGATATTTGTTGAATACATCTGGCTTTTCTGCATCTACATTAACAAATCTACTATCTTCATCTAGTAACAGGCTTATGCCAATTCTAAGATTTTTTCTGCCTCTTACACTTAAACATCTTCTTATTGTCCTCAGTCATGGGTTTTCTTTCTTTAGCTTCACTTATTTGTCCGTACTTCATAACAGCTAATTATGGTGATTTCCAAATAACTCTTCCAATTATTGCACCTAATTGTTGTAATTACTTCACTGCTGACTCAGGCTAGGTTCTCAGTCAAAGGTACTCTCTTGGCTTGGCTTTTGGGTCAGATAAAAACATTTCTTCAAGAACTTCCAGTTTACATCCTTTTTTCTCTCTTTTGTTTGCTGGCAGTTTCTGAAAGGGATTATATGACATTGTGCCTGTAGCAGCAGCAGGCTGGACCCAGGAGGTCCCTACCAGGCCCATGTTCCTATAATCTGTCTCATGTTTTTGTTACTATTAGCTCTTTTGAAGCAGGATGTATATGCTACATGTATTATCATAGGAACCATGGTAATACCATGGAATAAGTCCTATGTTTGCTCACATTGATGTCACAGTGCCTGGTCCCTAGGTAACCATTCACTTCTACTCCAGTGATTGATTCATCTCTGTCTGTCATGATGGAGTCCAAAATAGTTGCCTCCTGTCAGTGGTAACACGTGAGAGAGTGCAGTTCTGAGTTACCAAGTACCACAAAGATGTTGTCTCCAACATATGATACAGCTGCCACCTCACTCTCTCTTTGCCTACTCTATCCTTCATAGAGAGATTAGAACCAGGAACTTTTAACATCCCAGTCCAGTGAATCATCCCATCAGTTTTCAGGAATGTCACGCATCAAACTTCTTCCCATGAGCAAGAAATTCCATTTTTTGTTGCTCGTTATCCAGACTTCAATCATTTATATATAAGCATTTGAAAAGTGTCTTTTCAACACATTGGCACAATTAGGCCAAAAGCAACATGCTAAGTTTGTAGTACCATGGGTGGAGCTAGGATTTTGAATAGTGAGGAGCAGATGGTGTGGCACATCATCACATATAACACAACACACATTTTTCTCCAGTTGAAGAGAAACAAGACAATGTATGAATATGATAGACGTCTAGCACTATATTATTCAGTTTAAGATCGACTCCTTCAGTGCTGCCTGAACAGAAATGCCCTCCCAGGCAGATGGTTTTAAAGTTGGAGCAGGAATCAAAGGGAGTTGCTACTGCATCACTGCCCTGTTCCATTCCTGCAATGACAGGTTTCTCAGCAGTGGACTTGATGAGTCTATACATCTAGCCAAGCTGAATGCCTCCTGGTTCTTTCCACCTTGGTCACAAATAGCTAGTCTACTTCCTGTTTCTATACGCTTTGCAGCTCATTACCCACTTCTTCCTCTTGCCGTGTGCCTGTGGCAAACATCTCTGAATCTGGTTAGGCAAAAAGTCATTTTCTCAGTTGCAATGCAGTGTTGCAATTTTTACTTCCAGACCACATGTCTCTTCCAGCTTGAATTTCACACATTAGACGCATCTTATCTGGTGGCAGAAAGGTAACCATGGCGCACACAGCACAGGTAAAGCTGTACCCAAGCAGAAGGAACTGTGATCCTTCCCAAACTCCCCTTCTTCTATCTTGGGCTTGCCCAATCAAAGCATCACCTGGCAACTGACTTGCACACTGAAGCTCATTGTTTGGCTCTACCCTCTTACTGACTGGGACAAATTACAATCACTGATCTCAAACAGAAGGTCTGATAAAAGACCCAAGCATCATGTGGTCTCATAGGGAACAAACCAACTAACCAGCCAAAAACACAACTTATTTGGTCCCTGCACCTACAAGCACAGGATCTCAACTGTCAGTGTCCAAAGGGGAGAAGGTGATTATCTAGAGGAATGTGTCACATGCTCTGTGTTTTTTTGTGGGGGGGTTTATGGGTTTTTGCCTTGTTGGCTCTTGGTAGCCCTTACACTGCTTCTCACGAAGTGGATTTCTGGGTCTAATTCTAACTCTCCCAGAAGCATCTTTGGGCAACTTCTGCTGCACAAAGGAGTGTATATGTGGCTGACGCTCGATTGTCTTCTGTACTGGGGGTATGACTTTATATGGGCTCTGAAGTACATGGAAATGTACTAGCAATCAGCATAGGCAAGCGGTCATACTCATAGTGGTCTAGCTCCCAGTTCAATGCATTTACCCCAAAGCTACAGGGTCTTCTGTGGAGGTGTGTTTGTCACTAGGACACCCCCTGCTTTTGCAGTCTAGTCCAATTCAGCCAAAATTAGAATATCCTACAAAGTACACCATACTTGCCCTAGAATGAGGCCCCTCTGAGGGGAAGTCTAGTTATGCCACCCCATCCATTCCCACCCCATTACAGATGTGTGAAGGGGGACCATGTATGTCTGATTAGTCTCATAATTCAGGTGTGGTGACCAGGGCAGCAGTTTCAGATGTTGACTTGGGTGGGGGTGAAAAAAGAGCAGCTGCTACTGCAGCTGCACAATAATTCTGGTGGCACAATGGCAACTGGAATCACCACTGCCCCAGTGCAACCCACTACCCCGGATGCCCAGCTGACTTGTTACACCCTCCATCTCTGGTTAATCTATAAGCAGTCCCCTTGTCCTCCTTACTGCCCCTCGACACATCTGTGTGCATCTGCAGAAGTGACCATGTTCTCAGCTAGGATGCAAGGGACACACAGGTTAAATCCATATGCACCAAATGAAGAGGGTGGTAGGAACAGACAGCAAGCCTGGGCACTCTATTACAATCCTCACTGCCAGCTGTGGAAGGAACAGACAGGAGAGTAATTCAAGTTCCAGGGTGGTCCTAGAGCAAGGGTCCAATCAGCAAAAGGAGCTGGTGGAGCCATAGAAATCATAGAGAAGCAGGGCTGCAAGGGACCTCCAGAGTTCATCTAGTCCACCCCCCTTCCTGAGGCAGGATCATCCCTATCCAAACCATCCTATATAAATCCATTGCCTAACTTCCTAGCAAAACTATACAGTTAACCTTGACAGAACCTAAGACATAACATCCTAACCTGCCAAAGGTAAAGCAGGGAAACCACACCAGCCAATATCTTTCTTCTGTAAAAGGTTGTTATAATATATGCTCAAGAGATCCCAAGTAGAGGGCCATGCCCCCTGCTAACCAAGGGATGGCAAACCCCCGCACCCCAGTCCATACCAATCTGACAGTGGGATAAAATGCCCTCCTGACTCCAAATATGTCTATTGGTCTGACCCTGAGCAGAGGGGCAAGACCCTCTAGCCAAAAACCTCCGGCTTTGGACTCAGCAGGCCAGCCTTGGCTGCAGCCAAAACCCAATGCTTCTGAGGGAGACTTAAAAATGCCCTGACACATATAGCATGAGATTGGAAGCTCAGCCTTTGAGTCCAGTGTAGCCTCAGCAATGCAGTCCCTGATCCTGCCATATTCCTGGCACTCAGATCACACCCCATGGAGGGATGGAGACACCTCAGATTGACACCCTCTGGCTAGCCCCAATGAACCCCACACAGGAGGCAGCTGTAGAAAAGGGAACTATCCCATTTAATGGTTCCTTGTTTCTGTCACAAACATGTTCACGTGTCATTGCACCACAAATCCGCAGCAAAGCAAAGTGCATGGAAGGGGTGGGGTGGCCAAGCCAATGTCCCCGAAGAGAGGAGACTCCCGAGCCCCTTGTGCAGGGTGGCATAAGGATGCTGTGAGTGTTCAGTGAACAGGGAGGGCAGGGAGCCCAGCACTCAGTCCAGTTGGCACCAGTATAAGGTCCAGTTTGCGGAGAGGCACAGCTCCGGTTCTGCTTCTGTGCAGCACAAAGGGAGCAGGGGAGCCAGGTCAAGTATACCAGGACAGGGGCCAGATGACTTGGGGTTGGGAGGTCCCAGGAACCCCAGTCCCAGGGATGCTGCTATAGTGAAGTGGGATCCTCCCTTCCTGAACCCCAGAAGGATCAAAGCAGGAGAAGGGAATACAGAGGGAACTGGAGGGGGCCCCACACGAAGGCCCTCACATCTATCTAGTTATTCCCACTTACATGTCCCTTTGGGGTGAATCCCCCGCCTGGCCTGAGTCAGGAGGGGTTTGGTGACAGAGTCCTGATGGCAGTTCCACATTCCTGTCAGTTGCTCCAAGCCATGGCTCAGACACCCCCACCCTCTCCCTTGCCAAGAAGGTGGCAAAGGGATGGGGCCTTCCTAATTATCTGATGGAGGCTTCACTTGGGGGGTCACGATCAGACTCCTCTGTTTCTTCGTTTGGGGTTGATTCACTGTTTGAGACTGGAGTGAAAGCAGGAGACTTTCTGAAAGAAAACAAAGAGAAAGGCTTACATAGGGAACAGCAGGTGGTGGGAAGGTGGGGAGAAGAGGGCAAGATCACAGATACCAGCAGAGAGGAAGGGGCCACTTAAGAACTGGACAGGGGAGGGGGAGGGAAACAGCAGAAGTGCCCTCACTGGAGTGTGAGGGGAGTAGATGGCCAGCAAGGTTCTCCAGTGCTGAAAGGTGCTGGGAAGCCCCTGTGCACCAACAAGTGATATGAACAACACGAGTCCTGAAAACATATACACGGGAGAGGAGTCTTATGGAACCGAGGTGCGCTGGAGCTGATATCAGGAGAACCTGCTCAGAGAAGTGCCCTGAAGGTGCCTGACAATTCAGGGAGGCCAGGGGGTGGGATGTGAAAGCACGAGCTTGTTGCAGCAGTGCACAGGCTACAGCTACCCTGGTTTAATGCTCCCATTAGCTAGCACATCCCAGCAGTTCAGCAGCACTCTGTCCCTCTGGTGGGGGCATCAAGATCTCTTGAGATGACATCATCACCTGTCAAAACTGACACCTGAGCATGATTCACTTTCTACAGACACATGGCACCAAAACTAGCTCCTGGGCAAAGGCTGTGAGGACACTGTATCTGATTATTCAGAACCCAGCCGAGACAGGCTCCCAGACCCTCTGCTTGGACCCAGTTCACCTTCCAGCACCTGGACCATAGCCCAGAAACCCTGGCCCTCTCTGTCTAAGAACTCACCTGTCCCCAGACTGGGTGATGAGCCGGCGGCAGGTCTCCATCTGCACATCCAGCCCACGCTTCATGCTGCACATTTCCATGTACTCATGTAAATGTCGGTTCATGTCATTCTTTGCTGTGGCCAGCTCCAGCTGCACAGGGGGAGCAATGAGGAGCTGAACCAGTTGGCAGGGCTCTGGCACATGCCCCACCTGGCTCAAAGGCACTGGCAATACTCCCTCATGCCAAAGGGCATGGGCCAGCCAGCTTCACCAGCCAGCCAATTCCCAACTCCCTGTTCCTGCTATGGGCTTCCCCTTTCCTTCCACTCCTAGGGTCTATCCTCTCCTCTTCCATTCCCTACCCCTTTGTGCCATCATCTCTCCCACTTCCTCCTTCTCCCACCTCAATTTGGTCGATGGTTTCCTGATACTCCTTCTCACGGCTCTTGAAGAGAGACTCTGTGTCCTTAATCACCTTCTCTAGACTGTCATCCTGCTGCTGGGGAAAAAGAAGGGTGTAAATATAGAAATGCCAGACACTGGAAACCAGAGAGAAAGAGAGATTAGAGAAGGAACCAAAACAATGGGCTACATATGTGGCATGTAACCATTCACAAAGCCAAAGAGCATGGATAAGGCAGACAGTTCAAAGTCCAGGGCTTCTAGCAGCCTACAGCTTTGCACAGATACCTGGAGGATTTGGGCAAATACATCATAGCCCAACTCAGAACTAGCAGCCACCTAGGGTCTGGGGAAGCAGGTCAAAAGCATGCTAAGTAGGGGTTTTGGCTAGGGGCCCTTCAAGGCCTCATCTTGGCCTATGCAGAACACATTTCATTCCCACTTGAGGGGCAGGTATTCTCACTGGTGGATTTAAGAGACAGTGTGGGAGCCCAGAGCAGTCAAAGACAGAACTAAAACACAGAAGGGCTGGAGTGGGCAGAACACTTCTGTCCTCATATGTACAGCTGAAATTGGAGGCCACCATTACCTCGCTCTGTGCCTCTGCAGCTGCAATTGCATATCCAGAGAAATCCTCCCAGAGCAGCAGCGTTTCCTCAGTCTCCTCCCATGTGAGGCTGTCACAGTCATCCTCAAAGTCATACTCCCGCCTGGGGAAAAAGAACCACATATCAGTAGCTGGAGGAGCCATAAAGAGTGGGTCTGGAGTGCTGAACTCATCCTTAGGGCACAGTCTGGACAGACGCAACAAATGTTCCGAGAATGTTATCGACTAGAAACCGGCCCACAAAGGTGCCAGATCAGAGGTGCCCGCACGTACTTTGCCAAGGGTTCCAAGTAGAAAGGTTCACTGTTTAGGCATTCCAGTGCCATCGAACCGCCACCAGGTGGTGCTGGTGAGTACCCACTGCTCCCCCTTCTTACTAACAGCCAGTTCAACAAAGACCCATTTCTGTACTTTACTGAAACTGGTGTGGTAGTACCCTGACCGGGAGTGCCTAGATGTCTGTGTAGGGCAGGAAGGTGACTGGACCACTGTTCCTGGGTTTCTGGGACCTGGGTGCTTTCACAGCTTTTAAAGAGTGCACCCCCCCCCCCCCCGGTCATCCATCAATTATTTCAGTTCCTGGAAATAGACTGGTGCTTGCTGCATACCAGACTAATTTGAGGGTGGGAGGACCAACTGGACACTAGTCATGGAAAGCTTAGTATCTGCACGTAACATTGAACTGGTTCATGGCGAACCAGTTCTAAATAATATTCAATTATCCAGGTACATCTTTGAAAGGGTGCAGGAGGCTTAAACCACTCTAAACTGGCTTGTACATCTGGCCACTTGTGGTTTGAAGCACATTTAAACTGGGATAAAAGTGTTATGTCTGTCTGCGCCAGTCCCGGCCTCTCCCTCCAGCCAGAGCTGCAGGAAACTAGCAGGGTGCTGGTTGGGGAGCCGCTCCCAGCTACTCCAGTCTCAGCATCTTCCCAAAGTGAGAACTGGAGGAAGCAGGACAGGAGCAAGAGCCAGGCTGCACTCACAGCTGATTCAGCATCCTCTGCATCTCTTCATTAATGTTCATGGCTGTGGTCTCATCTTCCCCATCTTCAGGCTTCCTGGAGGTGTCACTCTCAGACAGTGAAGTGTCCTCATCGCTGACCTGCTTCCGCTCTCGCTTCCGCCCAGCTGCGCCTGGGACCTTAATGGGAGACAAGTGCAGAGACTACAGAAACAAGGCCGGGTGCAAGGTTGGGGTGTAGGGAGTGGAAAGGAGATGGAGGGTAAGAGAATGGTGCAGGGGCAGGGAGGGAGGGAGGGAGAGAGAGAAAGAAAGAAAGAAGGAAAGAAGAAGAAAAGAGAGGAAGAGAGACGGGCTCATTATGATCAGGTTAATGATGGTGCAATGACCAAAATGTGATTTTTAGCATATTTTTAAAATGAAAAAAAAATTATGCAACTAAAGATGGAGTCTGTGAATCTGATGAGAAGAAATGTAGTTTCATTACAGAACTCAAATCACACAACCCCCCAGATCCAGAGAGAGGGAAAGGCAGAGAGAGAGGGAAAGGCAGAGAGAGAGAGGGAGTCTGAGAAAAGTGAAATATGTCAATATTTACAGTCAAACCTTTATTTTATAGAAAGTTTCTAATTTGTACATTTTTCTCAACTGAATGAAACTAACCAGCTGCTTCTGCAGGGGAGAGAGAGAGACAGAGGCAGAGAGCGAGAGGCAGCAACAGTGATAGAGAAAGAGACAGACAGCGAGACAGAGAGAGGGGGGGGAGGAGAGAGATGGAGTTAGAGACAGACACTTAGCACCATGTCTCCCTCTTCTGCAGCTGCTCCCCCATCACTGGGGGACCCAGGGCCCAACACCTCTGAATAAAGGGAGGTTGATGAATGCCCTACATCATGCTTGGAGCCTTCAGTAACTTCCCTGTCCTCCTCTGATTACTGGTCCATATCCCAGTGACTTGACCCAAGAGGGAGAGCTCATGAGCTCATGGAACAAGAGTCAGGGTGACTGAGCATCTCCCTAAAAGGGGCTAGCTACCTCCTCCGTCTCTGCCTTTGGCTACAATCTCTTTTTCCAAGAGGTAGCAGTGTAACTAGGAACAGCAGCAGATGCCTCTCACCTGAAACATCTTGATCATGTCCTCACAGTTGCGCTGCTGTGCCACGTCGCACAACTTGGCCGTGATGTCAATTCGCCGGCAGATATCCATGTCCACCTTCATGGCCTTCTCCTGGATCTTGGTATCCAGCTCCGTGATGTTCTGACCCCATAAGAACCAGCCCAGAGGACAGAGGAGAATGGAGTGTTACAAAAGGCCCTGGTCTGTAAATGCAGGGGACTGGTCTCCATGGCCGAGGTGGCCCTCCCCAGCCCTATGCTCCTGTGGTCCTCCTGTATGCCCAGCCTGTTGTTCCTATGGGTTGAAAATTCTTGGTGCACAGAGGGCTTTTCTGGCAAGAAGCTCCTTCCCACGGTGCTGTACCTAGGGCTATGGTAATGCCAAGGCAGTGCCAAGGGAGCTCACACTGCAACTAGCACACTGAGGGGGCTGGTGCCATCAGCATTACTGGGGCAGCTTGCACTGGAGGCACTCACACTGGCTACTGCTGTGGACATCACATCCCCCTTGGGTTTGGCACTACCCTAGTAAAATCACCGCTGCCTACTGAGCAAAAGAATGGGGTGTGGAGGTGTCCATCAAGCAGGGGAGGGGTTAGGGGAGGGCACTCACATTGCTCATCAGTCCCTTGAATACAACCAGCTCTGCCTTGAGCTGCTCCACCTTTAAGGCCAGTTCTTCTTGGCAAGCTTCGGCTTCCTGAGCTTCCTGATCAGGGAGAGAGGAAGACAGTGATCAGAACTGGGGAGAAGCAGCAGGGGGCTAGGGATGCAGGGAGAGGACCCTCACCTCATGCAGCTCAGTCACTCGGTCCTGAAGCTGGACACGCATAGTATACTCCTCTTCCCACCTGGTGAGACAAAGGTGCCAATTACACCCCTCCAGCTTTGCTGCCCTGCACAGCTGGGCAGGACAGAGCTGGCAGCTTCTGTGGGTCCCCTCCCTGACAGCTCAGTTGTGCACTACAGGATATGCTCCCACCTTGGGTGTAGGATGGGGAATGTGCTCTGGAATTTGCTTCTTCCCCTTCCAGACAGCTACAGCTGTTAGATGCATGTCACTCCCTTTGACCACAAGCCAGGCCCTCCACTCTTCTCTGCCAGCCTTACTCTGCAATACCAGCTGCCTTTCAGGCCATGCAGGGGAAGCTTGGGATACCCACCACAAACTGCCTGTGGCAGCTGCAGCACACACACAGCCCTGAATTAGGCCAACTGGCAGACTGAGCCCAGTGTCCCTTCTTCCTCTGCCCACTGTGCCAGATCAGACCAGTGACCTCCAGCTTGGGGTAGACTGGACTGCGCTAAACTGGTCAGCAGCAGACACTGAGCTGCATTAGGTGCTGCAGGGCAGAGCAGGGCTGAATGTGTGTGATATGCGCCACGTTATATAGCAGGCAGTTCTGAGACACAGATGACAGTCTAATATTAGGCCGCATTGCACTATGAGAAGTTGTACTATATTGGGCTGTGCCCGACTGTGGAGGGCTGTGCTATCGTGAACTGTATTGCTCTGCAAAGGGCTCCACTATACTGGGCCATAAGGGGCTGACTTACATTGGGCTATAATTGTAGTAATAAACCACTGCAACAAGATGAATTGAATGGGAATGGGCTAGGCTGAATCAGCTTACTTTGCAGTAGGCTGTATTGGCCTCAGTTAGGCTGGGTTGGGTAATAACTGATCACCTTACATTAGGCTGGATTGTGTCACAAAAGACTTCCGCTGTAGAAGTCAGAGCTATTCTGAACACAACTGCAAGGTGACTGGCAGTTTTATACTGAATTGTGTTGTGATGTAATAGGCTACATGATAGGGAGCTCTATTTCACTCCCCTCTTCTGTGAACAGCTTCCTAGGCAGCGGTGTACTGTACTGCAGTGTGTTTACGGGTTGTATTTCACATTGCTAACCGACTGCATTACATCAAATATATTGCTGGTGTTGTCAGTAGTGGTCTGGGTTGCCCCCTGCTCCACTGTGGTGGTTAGTGCAATTGAGGCGTGTTGCTGTTACATTTTCAGTTCCTCCAGGCAAGCGGTATTTTCTCTAGACAGAGACCATTGCCCTGGACACAACCAAGGTTTATAGTCCCTGTATGTATTATAAGTAAAGTTGTAACCATCAACGTTTTGCCCAGAGTCCTGGTTCTTGGAGTCATCCAGTGACATAAGATCACAATTTGCATTTTTAACAAGGCACACTTGAAATAAGCAAAAGATAAGATATAAACATAATATAAGAACCACACAGTTATCTTGACATTTTTAAGACAGCCTCACGATTTTTAAGGGCTGGACTCAGACTTTTCAAAGAGCTGGGGCTGGCCATACTGCTGCTAACCTGAACTTTCAGATAACATCCAGCTCTAAAGGTGTGCACTGTTCTTTTCCCAGACTGTTCCAGACCACTGGCTGAGACAGCTGTCCATCAGTAAAGAAGGGTCAGTGGGGGCATTCCTCCAACCTCAACTGGGGAGAAGAGGGAAGGGAACCGGGAAAAAAAACAAAGGCGGCAGTCAAAAGAAAGGAGAGTGCTAGAGATAAGGTTTGCTTAGTGGGAACTGATCCAACTAGGCTTCCCTCTCTGGGGAGAGACTGCATTCCCCAAAACAAAAAATATTTCCTCAAGCTCTTTTCTCTCACTACCCCTCCCCCTCCCAGTCCCTCTAGCCTTGTCTAGACTTTGAAGAGAAATCCTTTTTGATGAAAATGCTTCTAAGCATCAGGTTCCAAAAACCATTAGGGAAGATATGTTCAGTACCCGCACTTAACCCAACACTGGGATGGAAAACAACAATGATTCCTGGAGGAAGCAAAATTTCTGCATATCCTCTCTATCCTTCACCAGCCCTCTTACTCCTTCCCTTTCATTCATGTCCCCTGTTTCACTCCTTTCTCTGTATCTCTCTGCCATTCTCCTCTGCAATGCACCATTCCTAATAATAACCTCACTGCACCACTTCCCCACAGCCTAGCCCAGCCCAGCGACTCAGAGGCATTCTGGATGCTGTTGATGCTGGCTGTGAGTAAGTGTCCTCCTGTAACCCCTGCATACTGCTTCACCACCCACAGTCCCCACTGGGAGCCACAAATTCCTCCATCCTGCTCAATGTACACATGGCTGCAACACCTCTGTGCCCCCCCCCTCTCCAACCAGCCATCCAACACCTCTGTGCCACCCCCCTCTCCAACCAGCCACAGTGCTAAGAGATGGGGGGGAAAGGAGAGTGATAAAGTGCAGAAAGTCCACAGACCCTACAGCCCAGGCTACCCACCAACCAGGCAACACCAGGCCATCGCACCCAACCCACAGACAAGGATCAGCCACTCTTCTAAAGCCCCCCACCCCCAGTGACATTATAAGGAAATAAATCTAGGGAGAAAAAAGAATCCAATGCACCTTTAAAAATCAGCTTAATCTAGCCCAGGGCCACACACATTTGTGTGCCTCAGTTGCAGGCATATGACTATCATATGGCATTGCTAGAGGGCAGAGTTATGGTTCTTTGTATGGTCTAACTTCTGCATCTCCAACCCTTACTATGTTTGGATTACTTACAAGTTTGACTCCTAGGTCTGTAGTACCAGGTTCTGGTGGAATGGCATCATCTCTGCAACACTGTCCATTCCAAGTCACCATGGCACATACCTGAAGATGTGATGCTGCCTCAGCATAGCTCGCATCTAGAATCATTTCCCTGTGTTCATGCGTGGCAGGGAGAAAGGGCAGACACAGTGGGACTCCCAGAGCACTTGGCAGGGCAACACACATCCCCTCCTCCCACCAAATCACTGACTCATCATCAGCTATTCCTACCCATCCTGAGCATGGCCTGCAACAAACCTGATTCTTGTTGCTGTATCATTTGTCTTTGCTCCTGATCCACTCCCACATATGCAGGACTTTGAAACAAAATGCAGTATTTAAAGAGACACTCTCCACTTCACACAGCTGTGAGTTGTCTTGCAGTTTGGAGGCCTTCTGGTCAAGGCTGTGGGAATGCAGTGACTGTGCCCCTGGTACCCTTCCAGGACACAATGACTTAATCCCTCAAAGTCAAAGGACTGAGATTTACTAAGCTACCATGACTCTTCTTCCACAATACAGCCTTAACTCTGCCCTCGAGGAGGGGGAAGACAACTGGGAACTTTCAGGGTTTGCAGCATGTATGGTTTGGGAATTAAGCACTCATACTGGAAGAGCACACAAGGAGGCCAAGGAAGTGTTGAGCACTGTACCAGACCAGTAACTGTAACTCTGCATGTGAATTTCCCATGTCTTTAAGAAACTAAGAGACAGGCTAAAGGGCAACAGAAAAAGCCCAAGAGACATAGGTTGTCACTCCTTAGGTATTAACCCCCTCCTCCTCCTGGTCTCTACATGCCTCTAGCAGGGCTAGCAGGCTAAGGAGAGGAAAGAGCAAGGTAGCTAGAAGTCAGCAAAGAAGTCGGCTGCCAACTGGAAACAGCCTGGGGTGCAGAGACCCACGATCTCTATGGCAATGTGATAGGAAGGCCTCTGTGCTCTCTCTGCTCCTGGGGGGGGGGGGGGGGGGGGGGCAGAAATACCAGAAGCCCTTCCCCTGACTGGAAAAAAAGTATGTGGGGAATCACAGAAAAGCAGGGCTGAACCTCTAAAGGTAATCTAGTCCAATCCCCTGCCTGAGGCAGTATCATCCCTGTCTAGTCATCTCATACAAATCCTCATGTAGCACCTTAACTGGCCACAGGCAAAGCAGGGAGACGATGGCAGCCAGTGTCCTGCTGCTGTGAGAGATATTAAATACACTTGAAAGATCTGAGGAAAAGGGCCATGCCCCTTTGCTACAAAGGAAAGCAACCCCCACCCCTGTCCATAGAATTTTACCCCCTACTCAAATTGGTTTCTCGACTCCAAATGCAGCGATCAGTCTGGCCACAAGTCGAGGGGCAAGACTAACCAGGAACCTCTGGGTTTAAGTCCCAGCAGGAGAACTGGCACACCCCAGCCAAAAAACACAGCTTTGGCTGCAGCTAACACACCCAATGTTTCTAAGGAACGTACCCCCCCCCACCCCACCCCACCCCCAGCATACACAGCAACAGGAAGAGAAAAAAAATCCTTCCAGGACCCATTCAGCAACCAGCGAAGGGCAGAGGCATGGGAAATACCTATAGTATAGCATAGGCATAGCTGCGCCTAGCTCTTCCCTGACTAATACCCAGCCTCTTCTTGAATGCTTCCTACAATGGAGGTCTCATGGCCCCTTCCTTCCAGTAGGGATTCTGAAAAGCTCACAGTTGTGGCTGTCTATTGCAGAGGGCCCCTGGCGTGCAGAAGGGGTTTGGGACTGTATCCTCCTCCCAGCTCCTGGAAACAGTCTAAAAAGGTATAACACCAGGAACAACACTATCCCCCAGGCCCACAGTGACTCTAAACACACCCTGTAACGCATCTCCGGAAGACTCTACAAAAGATGCTGCCAAGAGCTGGGCCAACTATGAACAGCCTCACTCCCCAAAGCATTACAGCTTGCTAGAGCAGCTAAAACTGACTCAACTATAAACAATCTGAGAGCTTGGCCATGCTCCCAGAGCCAAAATAACTTGCAGATTTAGAAAATGATACAGAGATACAAGCAATGTACCACAGCAAAAGTGAACAGGGTTTTACCACGTCAGCTGCTCTGTGATAATTATCCACGTGCATGCTTTTATCTTGGAGTAAGTGGAAGCTAAGCTACAGTAGTTTCACTCTATTTTATGTCAAAGCTTTGGTACCACGGTTTAGCTTCCACTTGTCACAGGGCAAGAGCCTACACAGGCAGTTACTGTGCGACATGTGGGGTTCTTCAAAGCCCCTCCTCTTGTACCTCACAGTAAAGAGTCTGCATGTTCACACCTTCAGGGAGTCTGGGGTGTGGTGCATGATGGGACACCGGTCTACTGAGCCCTGTGAACGGCGCGTGCCCCCAGTGGCTGGGGGGCACAGCTGCACTGGTGGCAGCGGGAGCATGGTCGCAGTGAGCAGGGAGCTCCCACAGACACTGCCAGCACTGTTGGCAGTGGGAGAGAGGGGGTGGCGAGTGCCAACCAGAGGTCGGCGACCACCCACAGGCACCACCAGCAGCGTCAGCAGTGGCAGCAGGGATTGCTGACTGCCTGCAGATGCCACCGGCGGTGTCAGCAGTGAGGTGGAGAGTGGTGACTGCCTGCAGAGGGTGCACTACCATGCTCAGGGGGTGCACGTGTACACGTTCCCCCTGCTGCACCCTCTGTAAGTACCCCAACTGCATGTCACTCCATCCTCCTAAATCCCACAAAAAATAGGGCAGGACCCCAAAACCTCTAAAATGATTGGTGTGACACTCCCAAACACCGCACAGCAGGCTGATGATGATGTGTCAAGTACAGACACCAGCTCTCCTGGGGATCCAGCCTTGCTTGGACCACAAGGAGGAGCCTCTTTTCTGCCTGCCGGCCTGGTCTCATTCACTGCCCATGGCCTGGGTGCTGAAATACCCCTATTAAAGACCCTGCCCCTTCAACTTTGTCAGATTCATTTGGAAAGGCAAACAGACTTGCAGTCCATCTTTCCTTGCGCAGGCCTGGTATTGGACAAATTGGCTGTCCTCCACCCTGCAACTGTGGGGAGGGAGTGGCAATGATAGCTGGCTGCCCCAAGAAAAGAACCAGGAAGGGGAAGGGGAAGGGAGAGGGAAATAAAAGGTGGTTGGTGAAAGGGGCACACTGACTCCCTGCTACCTGGTTCCCAGCCCAGCCCACCTTCCCTGGGCCCCAGGCAGGTATTTCACAGAAGGGTCTACCTACCCTACCTTGCCATTCCATGGAGTGGAAGAGAAAGGCTCATGCCTGTTGGTTCAGTGGGCCTGGTTCTCCAAGTGGAGGCTGAAGCTGAAGTTCAGTGGCCCATGTTTTGAGCAGATGCTGTCCGCTTGCTTAACCCTTTTGCCACATTAAAAAAATAACCCCCCCAAAATATCATAAAGGAAAGATGTTAAAAATAGGTCGGGGGGTGTTAAAGTGTCTGCAGGCCCCAATTATACCCAACTGTGCCTTGGGCCCTGCCACTCCCCAGACCAATCTCATTACAGACACCAGTTTTAAAAGGTAAAGCTCAGCTGTTGAAAAAGAGCCCCTGCCACCTTGGCAATACTAAAGGAAGGGCCAACTTGGAACAGAACCAAAATGCCCAGGGGCCACCGGGGCTGTTTCTCCTCCTGCCAGGTGACAAGTCAAGCCCTGGATCCATCACCCTTGCCTTGCAGGGCTCCCCACACTTGCCAGGGGACTAGGCTACAGAGGGCTGCTCAGCCTGTCTGCACCGCAGGAGGAAGGGAAACAGAGGCCAGCAACTGGGACCCTCCAGGACAACCCATCCATCTCAGACCTTGCCTCGACACCTACTCACTAGAGAGTCACAGGAGCCTGCTCAGCTGCACCCACTGCCCCTCTCCTTCCAGCCCCCTTGCCTGCCAGCCTCCGAGCTAGTAACTGGGGGGGGGGGGGGGGGCGCCCCACGCCGCGCCCCGGAGTCACGTTCACCCACTCTGGGCTTGGGGGGGAGAGCGGGCAGTAGCCCCTGGGTGCCAGGGAGGCAGGGAGCTGGAGAAGGAGAAGGGGGAGAGCCCTGCCACCCCCACCCCACCCCGCACCTGCGCTTGTACTCGTCGCGCTCCCGCTTGACCTTGGCCAGCACGTTGTAGAGGGCGCGGATCTCGGGCGTGATGGTGTCGATCTGCACGCCCACGCCGTCGGGGTGCACCCAGGACACGCCGGGCCCCTGCAGCAGCGTGGGCTCGGCGCCGGGCCCGAGCCGGCGCG